ATGATGTGCAAAATATGTGAGAAGTTTCATCAACTTTGCCTCCTAGGAACGTTCTGGTTGCACTTTCTCCAACACGTTATCATCCAAGGCCATTCTATTCAGTACTAGAAGGCCACTCTGTGAGACAGAACTGACTCTGCAGGAGTGTGTTTAATAGGTGTAAGGAGCCTTTGTTGTTGTTGTCGTGTACCATCCAGTCAGAACTGATCCATAGCTAACCCTCTGGGTGGGTTTCAGAAGCAGTTAATCACTCAGGAGGAGTTTGCCCAGCTTTCTCCCACAGAGCAGCTGCTGGATTCAAACTGCCTGCCTTCAGGATTGCAGCACAGCTTTTTACCACTAGCCACCAAAGGAGCCTTTGGGTAGGTAGCATAAATGGTTAATATACAGCTGCTAACAGTTAGAAAGTTCAAGTTCATTCTGAAGGGCCTCAGAAGAAAGGTCTGGCAGTTGATCAGAAAAAAATCAGCCATCAACACCCCTGTGGAGTCCACTGTTATGAAAAGCTAATGAAAAGTTTGCTGTTGTTTTTGTGGACTGATGAGTCAGAGCTGACCCATAGCTGACTCTCTGGTCGGTTTTCAGAGGCAGCTGATTCTCAGGAGGAGAGTGCCCATCCTTCTGCAGAAGAAAGGTTTACACACAGAAACAATGATTCTTGTTGGGTTACCAGAGATGTGAAGGGAGGGAGAAGGGAGCCAAAGTCAGTAACTAGATATCAGACACATACTAAGATGAGTGAAGAGAAAGGGAATATATAATAAGGGGTAATTAACACGTCACTAAAGAAAAGGAAGATGCAAAGAGATGCACAAGAAGAAACACTCAATATACACAATCCTTTAATATTAGAGGTAATAAGTACAAATCTACAAGCAGATACATAGGCAGACAGGCAAGATGAAGAGATATGGGCCACTGACGTGGATTATATCAAGGACCAGACCTAAGTTTGACCAGTGGTATTTTTACATTCATACTGTATATGCCATAAATATACCCAAGTAGACAACAGAACAAGCAGAAGACAAAGCTATGTAGCTATCTTAATCATAAACAAACATGCCAAGGGAATGAGTTACAGCCTTGGGGTCTTGGAGGACATCAAGGTCAATTGGCATAATGGCCCACAAGATAATATTCCATCATACTTCATTGAGTAATGACTAGGATCTAGAAAGCCTTCAAGCACTCGTCTAAGGTGCAACTACCAGTCTCTCCCTGTTTGGAACAAAGAAGGAAGAAAAGCAAAAATGAATAGACACAATTCGCCCTAAAGATTAATGGACCACAAGAATCTCATCCTCCACAGTCCTGAGACCAGACAAACTAGATAGCTTCTGGCTACCATTGGGCTTTCTTTTTCTTTTTTTTTTTTAATAGGTTTTTTATTTTTAATTTTATACTGATTTATTTACAAAACTTGAATACATTGTTTTTCACAAAAGATCCCTCCCATTTCCTTCATGCCCCCATCCATTGAATTGTGCAATCCTATGATTAACACCCCACCCCTGCCCATCCTCGCCCCTCTATTTCCACCCTCCCACCACCACCGTGGATCCTCATACTCATTCTACAGTAATGGTTTTATACAGTGTTTGTCCTTTACCACTGGCTTTTCTTAAAGAGACCACAGCACAAAGTCTTGGACAGGGTGGGGGGAAATCTGAAACAAATTCAATAACAACAACAAAGCCCACGCTTACCGGTCTGATGGAGACTGGTGGTGGAACCTCTTAGCCGTCTTCAGCCGTAGAATAAAGCCCCTTCTCAAGGCTCAACTACATTAGACAGGACTACAAATTGACAAGAGGCAACAGGGAGAACCTCATTTCTTAGAATAACCAACCATCTAAGGTCCAAAGTGCAGTACTTGCCCACAAATGAAGATTAGAAGGATTAACTTAAATGAGAGTCACAGGAATGAAGCAGGAGAACTCTGGCTACAGTGCTGGTGTTATAATTAATGTTGTAAAACAAAATGTGCACAAAAGATTGAATGGAAAATCAATTTGCTTTATAAGTTTTCATTCAGATCACAATTTAAGTAAATAAAGTTAAAAAGTGGGGCCCAGCTTTTCAAGAAAATGACTTTAAAAAAAACACACACACACAAAGCACAAATTAAAAAGTGAAAACCTGTGAAACACAGTTCCATACAGAGTGAACATGAGTCAGAATTGACTTGATGGCTTTTTCTTCATTTGCTTCTGGGTGTGTGTGTGTGTGTGTGTGTGTGTGTGTGTGTGTGTGTGACTTAATAGTATTTTAATTTGTTGTTGTTGTTAGGTGCCCTTGAGTTGAGTACAACTCATAATGGCCCTATCAACAACAGATCTGAACCCTGTCCTATTCTGTGCCATCCTCACGCTTCCCGACACACAAGAGCCCATTGCAGCAGTCACCATGTCAATTCACCTGGTTGAGGGTCTTCTGCTCCTTCACCGACCCTCCACCCTTCCCAGCATCATGTCTCTTTCCAAATAATAGCCCCTTCTGGCAACATACCCAAAGCAAATGAGGTGAAGCCTCGTCATTTTTGCTTTCAAAGAGCACCCTGGCTTCACCCTTTCCAAGACATATATTCATTTATTCTTTTGACAATTCATGGGATGTTCAGTGCTCTGCTATAACACCACAGCTCAAAAGTATCAGTTCTTCTGTCATCCTTACTTATTGTCTATATCTCAGATGCAAAGCAAGTGATCAGAAAGACCATGGTCTGAACCAGACGCACTTAAGTCCTCAATCTGACATCATTACTCCTCAAAAAAGAAAACCTGTTTTATGTTTAGGTCTTTTAACTCATCCGTAGGTGACATTGGGTTGCCGAAACCATCCAATTGTATTTTTTGATCTTGTCTTCTTTAGACATCGCTGGTCGTCTTGGCTCTCACCTCAGCCAAGTGAGTAATCTCACTGCCCTCCTCACCCTTCTGTTCAGCAGTTGTTTAAAAACAGAGCAGGTGTGAGCCCTTCCTCTGCAAAAGTCCTGCCAACATTGCAAGGGCATCCTTCATAAATAAGCTGACTTCTCTCCACCTTGGACCTGAAACCCTGGCTCTACCTGGCCTTCTCATATCTCCTCCATTCTCATTCCTATCCAGTTGCCTTCTCTGGAATCTGCTGCTGACTTTCTCCCTGACCTCGCCCTGGTTGCCCAGTTCCGTCCTTGGGTTCTTCTTCCTTCATCGGGAGGGTCTGCTCTGCTCTGCTTGTTTGGCCCTATCAATCTCAGGGCAACCATGGCCCACTTTTGTACCCCTTCCTACTGCACACATGGGGCTCATTCCCCCTCCAGCATTTCACACAGGTCAACTGAACTGTAGCCACTGAACCCAAGAAGAAAGTCAGCCAACAGTTCATTCTGAGGAGACAGAGCCCAGGGATGGGAAAGGAGAAATGGAGGGAGAGACACTGGCAACTGAAAGTCAGGGCCTTCATTGGCCAGTTGGCCATGAGGATTAAGATGGAAGAGAAATTGGAGACCAACTCCAGCTCCTGGACGTGGTGGTTTTCTGGATGGGAACCCAAGAGAACCTAGAGGAAGCCTGAGACACATCTGTGGCTGTGACAGTGGACCAGGTCTTGCCAAGCAGACAGATTTCTGAAGTGGCGCTGAGAAGGGCTGAGCCCACAGAGGAAAGATGTTGGTCTATCAGTGTAGAGGAAGTATGCAGGAGATTACACTGGGTGAGGGAATAACAACAAACCCTGAGGAATCCAACATGTAAAGGGGACTGAAAAAGTCAGAGATGAAGTTGCATAAGAGGGTCATCAGAACCAAGGAAGTCAAATGTTCATGGCCTTGAAATATCGGAAAAACTGAGGACCGAGCATATCCATCCAAGTGGGACCCACTTACTCAGCTTCTCCTTTCTCCCCTCCGTCTTTTCCTTTTTCCCCCAGTTCAAGGTGGCCCAGCTCCTTCAGGGCGTTGCTGCTTAGCTTCAGGGTCTGCAGGCTGGCGAGGGGATGGAACAGCTCCTCTGGGACCTGCGTCAGGAGGTTCTGGGTGAGGTTGAGGGTCTTCAGAAGCCCCAGAGGGTGAAAGAGCCAAGCAGGCAGCGTCCGGAGCCGGTTCCCCTGCAGCTGCAAGGTATGCAAGGCGCCCATGTGCCGGAAGAAATCCTTGGGCAGGAACTCCAGCATATTGAAGCTGAGGGTGAGTTTGCCCAGAGAGGTCAGGTTAGAGAAGATGTCAGCGTTGAGGCTGGAGAAAGAGCTGCCGGTGATTTCCAGGTCCTCCAACCTGGGTAGCCCCTCAAAGGCATCTGGCTTGAGGTGGAAGAGCTGCACGTTGAGGAAGACCACCTTGGTGAGGTTGGGGCTGCCATGAAAGGCCTTGGTGCCTACTGTGGAGAATGAGGTCTCCACAAAGACGATGCTTGTGGCGTTGACTGGGATGTCCAACGTGGCAAGCCATCTGGGCTTCAGAGGACCTCTTATAATGAAAGCCAAACACCTCACATCTACCTTGCCAAAGTGCCATTTCATCTGTGTTTCTTCTGAAGAAATATACCGGAGGTGAGTGCTAACATTCTTTCTATTGTCTCTTGTGTTTCTCTGTATCAATCAAACTATAAATTTTAAGACAATAAAAAGAAATGGGACTTGGCTTTCTACTTGGATGTCAAAAGGACAGCGTTTCCATCCTGTATAGCTGGAATGGTGGTGAGTGTGCATCAGGAGGTGTTAGTGTGAGATGAAGATGAAAGCAAGGGGAGGGCACTGAATAATCAAAGACACTGGGTGATACGGTGTGTGAGGTTGTTCTTTTTTTCCCCTCCAGACCATGAAGTAGCCTTAAAGGGGGCAGTGCAAAGTGTTGTCTCTGGTTGAAAGAAGAAGGCTTGTGAGGGGAAAGGAGAAGGAGGAAGAGGAGAAGGAGGCTCTGCATGTGTATAAGGCCAAGCTAAGCATCACCTCCCGGATGCTGGAGATGTCACGAATTCCCTCGGCCCTGTCTCATCTGCCCAGGCCCTTAGGCCCTGTACTTAGGCATCCCCGGCCAGGGCCTCAAGAGACACTGTGACCCGGATGGAGCCACAGCTGGACTTCAAGTCCCACTCCTGACTGGCGTTGTAGGCCAGTCCCGGGATGCCCGAGCCCTGCCGAGAGGACAGCTGGATGCTCAGCCAGCGACACCGGGCCTCGTCACAGGCCAGCACCACCGTGCCCTCGGGGTTGCTGAAGGTGCACCGGCTGCGTGCCACCCTTTCCTCGGCGACCAGGTCCCAGGGGCTCCCCAGCTCCCAGTCTTCCAGGCCCGGGGCCTGGTAGCCCAGCCGGTCCCTGGTGACGGGGCATATCAGCTGCCTCTGCTCCAAGGCAGGCACCATTTGGCCCTTCAGATAGGCAGGGCCAGCGCAGTAGGTCTGGATGTTGAAGAGGCGGTCGCTGTACTGTTGTAGCCAGCTGGAGAGGTAGGCCAGGCGGCAGTCACACTGCCAGGGGTTGCCATGCAGGGCGACATTGAAGAGGTTGTAGTTGGTGTCAAAGACGCCCTCGGGGACAGTGGTGAGGAGGTTCTTGGAGAGGCTGAGCAGCTCCAGGTTGGACAGGTTTTGGAAGAGGTTGGGGTGCAGGACTGTCAGGTTGTTACTCCCCAGGTAAAGCCTGACCAGCTCCTTCAGGTCCCTAAAGACGTCAGCCGGGAGGTGGGTGATGGCATTGTGTGAAAGAGTGAGGGAAGTGAGGCGGCTCAGGTTGGCAAAGGTGCCCTCAGCGACAGTCTCCAGACGGTTATGGGACAGGGACAGCGCTGCCAGGCTTGGGGTGGCAGCGAAGAGATCTTCGGGCAGCGTTTGCAGCGCGTTGCCCTGCAGGCTCAGGAAGGTGAGGTTGCGCAGCGAGGAGAAGGCTGTGCGCGGCAAGTGCGCAATGGCGTTATGCTGCAGCCACAGCTGTTCCAGGCTGCGGAGCCGCGAGAACAGCCGTGCGGGCAGCTTGGAGATGACGTTGTTGTCCAGGAAGAGCTCCTGCAGGCTGCCCAGCTTGTCAAAGACGCCTTCGGGAAGGCCCGAGAGGGCGTTGCTGCTCAGCTTCAGGGTCTGCAGGCTGGCGAGGGGATGGAACAGCTCCTCTGGGACC